ATCAATAGAATGATTTAGAAAATCGTTTAACAAAGGACCCATGTTTAGATTGAAAATTTGGAATTTTGGTCTTTGAATCACTTTTGAAAATCTTTGATAGAACTCCTTGAATGAGAGGTTATTCAAGAATCAAGAGTCACCATACCTTAATTATTGAATACCCATTAAATTGAAGACGAAATCAGTTGAAAACCTTCTAGCTTGAACTTCATCAAGGTCTTCAATGGAGTTTTTTTGAGAGAATCTATTTGAGAGGGAAGGGTCAATTTGAAGAATGGGGTCTAATTCTAGGTTTTGGGGTTTTAACCAACTTAAAATACCCTAAAATAGGTAGAATAACCGTTTATAATAATTCTCCAAAGTACCCAAACTACCCCTCACTTAGTTGGACGTTTTAAATATGTCAAACTTGAGTTTTATTTTCGCAGATTTCGTCGGGAAACTTGACCCTAAAAACATTTATTAAGACACTAGGGTCACCTCCACTGATTTTAGACTCCAAACAACACATAAAAACATGAACAACATACTAGAACACACCAACACGTAAAAGACTAGTTTCTGAATGGCTTGGAGGGTGGTCTCGGGGAGTCGTACCCGAACGTTTTGACCCTAAAAACATTTATTAAGACACTAGGGTCACCTCCACTTATTTTAGACTCCGAACAACCCATAAAAACATAAACAACATACTAGAACACACCAACACGCAAAAGACTAGTTTCCGAACGTCTTGGTCGTTCCTTGACGTTTGACTTCCAAACTCTTTAAAACTGACTAAAAAGGCTATTCTTCATTATTTTAACAAGTTATTAAATGCATAAAACCCATGTGAGGCTCTACTTTAGCCTACTTCATTTTGAGGGTTGTTACATTTAGGTGGTACCTTCCTATCACAAAAGACTCACAAGACTCCCGAGGCAAGCCTCCATTTCATCCCTGCCAGGTCTATATGCGATGTGTTACATCATTGACGGTGCCCCCACTATCCTAGATTATGGACTCTTGATACTTAAAACTTTCTCTTTTTGGAGTAGTCTGTGTGGCATGCCTCACTTCCACGTTTGTTCCGGAAAAGTTGTTTTTTTTTAAATAAGAAAAGCGACCACTTCGTCGCTATCTCGCTTCACGCTTCAGGGATTGAAGCTACCGCTTCATTCACTTTGCATTGCCCAACCCTCGCCTTGCTTCACTTCATCGCCTAAACTGATCTTTTCACAACACTGGCTTAAGCTGTTAGATCCTTATTATTTACTTAATTTTTTCTTCAAATATCCATTCACATGTGGGTTTGATTCTTTTTCATAAAGCAATCATGTGAAAATTCTTTTTTGATAATAGGCAGCGGTGAGGCTGGAAAGCAGGACCTTTGCGTGCTCTGATAACATATTAAAGCGTGTAACCATCTCATCTAAAAACTTATTTTGTATTAGTTGCTAAGATGCTTTATTCTTCCATTTTCATTTTCATCCAGGAAGGTTGACATTAACTAACCATGCTCTCTACTTCGAGTCTGGAATGGGCTTATATGACAAGGCAGTGCGGTATGATCTAGCATCCGACTTGAAACAGATCATTAAGCCTGAGCTTACTGGACCTTTAGGTGCTCGCCTTTTTGATAAAGCTGTTATGTACAAGTCCTCATCTATGTAAGCTTAATGTTTTCAGTTGAAGTTATATACCTTAATTCACCAGGAACTTCTAACTTTAAGTTATACAGGATGGATCCTGCATATTTTGAATTTCCAGAATTTAAAGGAAGTTCAAGACGGGACTATTGGTTGGATATTTGTCTCGAGATTTTCCATGCTCACAATTTTGCTCGGAAGTATAAACTCAAAGAGGGTCAGCAGTCCGAAGCACTTGCTAGGGCTGTTCTTGGAATTTACAGATATAAGGCAGTCAGAGAGGCTTTTAAGGTATCTTCTTCCAATTACAAAACCCTACTGTGTTTTAACTTAGCAGAAAGTCTTCCTAGAGGAGATGCGATCTTGGAAACTTTATCAAGCCGCTTGAAACTCATGAACTCTGCCGGCAATCGACGTGGATTATTGGGTTCTCCTAGTGCAAGGAGACAGGTGATACACCCAGTATCACGGGTGTCACTTTGTAGACTTGGAATTATCTTATCCAAGGAGGTTGACATAATTGGAGAAGCAACAACTTTAGTAGGAGATGTCTTTGTTGGTGAGGTAAATCCTCTGGAAAATGCGGTCAAGCAGTCAATGAAGAACATTGGAAGAGCTGAAGCTGCACAGGCGACAGTTGACCAAGTCAAAGTTGAAGGAATTGATACTAATTTAGTGGTAATGAAGGTATAAATGATCCCCTTTGCCTTTTTCTTTTTTTGCTTAATGTATCATTCCCGTGTTCAGGAGATTGCTGCTGCTTGTTCTCTTATTGATAGTTGATCCCTGCTAAGTACACTTCTGCATACAGGAAAACTGCTTTATATAGTGAGTTACTTCAGTTCATCCTATATTTAAAAGCTGTGCAAAGTTGAAATACTGCACTCTTTTTTCCTAGGGAACTAAGAAGGTAGCATGATTGTTCTTCAGCCGTTCGTATGTCTTCTGTACATCTTTTATTTTTGAGTAGTAAGTAGTTAGCTGCTCCACTTATATGTGGCTCCCTTTGTTGCATTTGCTTATTATTGTTAAATTAGAACTAAGGAGTTCCTGCACCCTATCTTTGAAGGTATCACTTCATAAATGGGGATACTTTGTTATCTTTGCTTCTTACTGTAAAATTTGAATTTTGAAATGAGTAATATACATGATGTTTCTTCATTCCTCAGGATGACATAATGTTTGAGTTGTGATATATTATTGCCGCTTACTGCTTAGAAACTTATTTAGTCGATTCATTCCTCAAGATTAATTTTTTTTTTTCACAGGAGCTACTTTTACCTCTCATCAAACCAATGAACCAACTTCAACTATTAGCTTCATGGAAAGATCCATGGAAGTCGATTTTATTTATGGTGTTTTTAAGCTATGCTATAATCAGGTATCTAATACTTAACTCTTCCCTTGTTTTTTTGTTAGACAGAACTCAAATCCAAGATGTTGTAGGATTATACAATTTTTTTTTTAAAATCAGTAACTTTGTATCATTTCAAGGATCAAAACAGTACTTGGGTAGTACTGAAACCATATTTACAATAGAGCTTTAGTGTGGTTCCTCTCTGGCTATAAAGAATCTAGAACATCTATGATAGACACAGTATCATTAGAGTAAATTTGATTACACCAAAAACATAGCAGTAAGATGAAGTTCAACTTGATCTTCTGCACATCATTCTCTAAGCTCTCAAAACATCT